ATCGGACTCTCAGAGTCGCATATAGTTGACGAGTCGTCAGCTACGGTTGTGTTGTATGTGTGTTATTGTATGGAAGTAAACGTATGCTGTTTAACAACCTCGCGATTGCTGAGAAAGAAAACGACGAATAGGATGATATTATAGAATGTACTAGCGCACAATAGCTAACGTTTCGGCGGTTTCGCCTTCGTCAAAGCCTGGAGACGTCAAATTGACATGCAATCTCTACTCATACAAACACTTTCATTACCCTAGCGGATAGAACTTACCATTCCATACCATTACCAACTTACCATACCATTCGCGAATTTGCATTCGCATAATAAACAGCTTTATTTAAACACCCAGTGTTTATTCTTTGCAAGTACTCCAGTTAGTTGGTGGAGAGCAGCCACACAGAGCAATACATGGAAAAGGAGTGTGCCTGTGTCACGTCACTGAATCAGCCTGAGATATGGTGCAAGGTCACGTGTCATAATAAGGCACTTCTCCTTGCAGTTTATTTTTGGATTTTTGGAGTTAATCCAAGATGCTCTCAGAGTTTCACGCGTTGATGTCTTGGATTCCTGCTCCAAGGTAGTGACTTCTACTTCAAAATCTTCTCCGTTGTGTTTCTGTGTCTTATGAGCGCCAAGTGGAGTGTTTTCAACATCTTCACATTAGCTCTTTGAAAATTGAGAGTTTGAAAATCACCAAGAAACGACTGTCGCCTGAAACACGAGATGATACGTCGGCTTGAAATTGCCCGAGCTGCAGGCAACTCACATCCGAACTTATGAAATAATGCACACACAAGGTGAAAGAAGATCTTAACAGTAGAAGAGCGATAGAGTCGAAGCTGCACAGTTAGCATTCACAAAGCCTACCCAAACTTCGCTAATTGCAAAATCAAGATTATCGCACTTCAATGTCCAGACGGAACAGTTACACTTTTCAGAAAAGCAATAGAGAAAGCAGTTCGCGATTACTGTTCGGCCCTGTTCAATAACCACATCTTCCTTCCCTCACACCAAGTAGAGGGAGACGCAGATGTTGTCCCAGTGGATCTCCTTCCCCATGTCTGAAATGCTTTTTCGCCGGTGAAGAACCGCACAACGTCAGGTCCGGAATAGATAATATCTCAACGTCTGAAGAATTCTCAGCCAGTCCTGATGAACACATTGGCCAGACTCTTCACAAGTTAGTGTCAGAACTCAAGGTTCCTATTCAGTGAAAAAACCTGCAAGACCGCGGTATTGTTCAAAAAAGGTAACCTCCATGATATCGGCAATTATCGCCCAATCCGCTTATCGTCTGCCTTATATAAACTCTTCAGCCGAACTCTCCTAAACGGGTTGACAGAAAGCTGAGCGAAGGGCCGCCTTGTGAGCAAGCAGGGCTTCACAAAGGATTCAGTACGGACTTCACCCACACGATAATAAGACTCATGAAGTGTCGCGAAGGGACAAAAGACCGCTCTATCTCATTTTTATTAGTTGAAGAAGGAAATTTTTGATTCAGTTCGGATAGAAGCAGTCATGGAAGCCCTGAACAGTCAACAAGTTCCTACTTGATGTATAACAATTCTTGAGCTGTATAAAAATTTCACAGACACGACATCACCATTCTACAACGATATTAGGGTTGACGTCAAAAGAGGGGTTAGGCAAGGCGATACCATCTCGCCAAAACTATCTACCGCCACCCTCAAGAACGTTATGCAAACACTGGAATTTGGACAATTTAAGAGTGAAAATCGGTAGTGGAAAATTACACCACTTCGACTTTGCTGATGACATCGTTATTACATCATCAAATATTACCCATGCAGAAGGAATACTTACGGACTAAGATTCGTCTTCAACTAAATCTCACAAGAGAGGTGTTCATCAGGAATGGTTTGGGTACCGTATGCCCCATTAATGTGAGTATCCCCGAATGCTTCAGTTACGTTTAGCTAGGTCAGGAAATCGAAACGATGAACGACTTAGCTCCAAAGTTGATCAGGAGGAAGCGCGGCTTAGGAAGCCTTCAAGAGCATCGACGATGTAGCGTGGAGGACAAGGATCAGTGGACTACGGTAATGATACGATAGAACATTGTGTAGGACCTTGGCAGATAATATCATTTTCTACAATTAACTAATTGTTTGCCAAGACAAAATGTTTTCAATCCCATTGATTAACTCATGCTTGGTGAATACAGAGGCACTTTAAACGTCTCTCCTCATTGACCTCTTCATCATCTGATCACAGCGAAATGCAGCTTATCCAGCACAGGTGTTGTGATGAACATCGAATGGGAAATGTCTGTTCTCTATTTATAAATGCACAAGATTCTTTCTCCATAGAGTTCATTTGGTGGGAATTATGGCATGCAGATCAAGCGTACATCTAGAACGACAGAGTAGAGTCTCTTCTATGACACCGTGATCTCTTATCACATCAAGATCTGTAGTTATCGAAAAATTATGGTCTGTTGTTTAAAAACCAATAACACCTAACAACATGACATAAGATTTTGTCTCATTTGTCCGCCACACAAAATAAGGCGTCGATGGAAGTAGGTTAATATTCTCAGTTCCTCACTAATTATTCTATGTTAATGGGATATCGTGTGACAAAGTGGTCGGAGGCGCCCTGCAACACACACGTGGAATCTATACCCGCGCCCATGGTCCACCAGTCCTTCCATCCCTCCAGGGTCACCAAATTGGTACGGACTTGTCTGGGAGGATAGGAACGCTGGCTCGATACATCGGTAGGTCACCGCGAGTTAATGCAGTTGCTAGTGGAAAATAGGCTTTCGAGTTAGTTCTCTGCACAGAATAGCCACTAAGTTTAAGCAGAATGCTCGATTTCTTGAGAAGACACCACGCGGGACTTTTCTTAGTTGTCACGAAAACAATACCTCAAAATTGGGTAATTAAACCGTTTATATACATAAATCCTACATCAATACAACGCTAATATCGATGGAGAACTACTGGCACCCAAATAAGGCAAGTTCAACACTATGAGATGCTGTATCCACTACTGAAGTGAGGCTAACAAAGGGACAACAGTATTGTAAATAATACTATTACAATATTAGTACTATAATAACAGCAACTTGATAACAACGACGAGTAAGGGGATGCGGATGATAGCGCCCACAATGGCGCGTATGGTGGCCCAGATGCCGAAGGCTAGAAAACATAATAATGAGATATACAGACGAGCAGCGCATTAGGCTGTGCTTCGGATGATATCTACAGCGGTTGGGTGTACTTCCACATTAATCGATGATTATAGCAAGTTGTCTTAGCATTGATGGTGCAAGTGACAACGAACGAGATGAGTCATCTGCGGAACACGGTCAGGCGGCTGGTCTTGAATAACGATATGTCTGCAGCGTGAAGTTTGTGCATCGATGGGTGCCACCATTGCCTAAGAGATAACTTAGGCCACGAATAGAGCAACTAGAACTGATTAGCCGACTATAGTGGCATAACAGATAGACAGCATACGCTGGCCGGTCACCGACAAGAATGAGGATCAGGATGATGATGAGGATACACTAGGCTGATGGGAAGCGTGACGTAGTGGCGGTGATGCTAAACTAGTGTACAATTCGCAACTGTCTTTTAAGAATGATACGATACAGTTAATGTAGAATAATGACTACATGCAGTATGACTTAACAACTACGATAATCTACACTGGTGCACATGAGATCAACACGGTACGGATCTGAAATGACAGGGGCGAACTCGGACAGTAATTTACGAGTCTACTTATATGCTTCTGGAGAAGGCGGTGTTTGGCACAGGTCCAGCATCTTTACTGAAAACATTGGTCGGCTAAAATTTCCAAATCCTCTCAAAACCAGAGATTAGCTGGCGGAAGACGGCTTTCGCAAACATCCTCATGCCCTTCGTGTTATTGTACGCATGATAACTTCTGCACAGTAATAACAAGGAACAAGTTCCGATTGCAAAAATAGGTTTGCATAACAAGACTGTTTATAGTGATCGAAGTTCCTTAAGATAGGATCAGAATATTACGCACTACGACATTTGCCAGGCAACTTGAGATACTGTGGATATGATCCTTACTACAGAAATATAAATAATAGAAAGAAATAGTAACTAATCTGGAAATAATTTCAACTACAGCCGCAGCTTAACTGGGTTCTATGCCGATTTGGGCGCCCCAGATCAATCATGCTGACGGGTGATCTCTGATGGCAAAAGATCGATAGAAATAGCTGAGAGACAGGCGAAACGAAGGACCCGCATGGTGTGGTGGTGAACGCGTTACTCCCCGGAAAGGACAATAGCGCGTTCGTTCCCCACCATAGACACCTGCTGTCCAGAGTTTTGCAAATATCTCAGCAACGTTGTGGTTGTATTTCGCTTAGTACCCTGCCGCGAAATTATAGTAGGCAGAAAATAAAAAGGTATAATATTCTGGAAATAGTTGCTGTAATAGCAGCACTGGCTCGATACATCGGCAGGCCACGGCGACTCATTGTAAAGGCCAGATATGCATTCAACCACCTTCAAACAATGCTTAAGGAAGTCGAATGTATAGCGCATATCTCAGGGATTGATCAACGCCGAGAGCTTTATCGTTTTTAATGAGGCTTCGTAGCGTTCTATCGTAACCTATTCGACTAGCGATTCATGGGATACCCAGTCGAGTATTTTCAATGGTCGGCTTACTGAATACACTTTTGTTCGAATCGTAAAAAATTGAACTGCATTATCGCTTAGTTTAGTAATTAAAAAGACTTCGATAAAGTATTTTAAGATGGCAAAAAAAACTAACGAGCAGAATCATTGCCTTTAATCATCTGTATCGCAAACAGAAACTCCCTGCGGGTAAATACGTTGCAATATTTATTGCCTATACAGTGAGAACCGTTTACAATCAGAGCACGAGGTGTTGAAACTGTACGGTTCGACCCATCTAGGCACGAGATATTATGAGGTACAGTGAAGAAGCGGCTTGCGTCGACTGTTCCACAAAGTGAGTTCGTTATTTACCAGCCACCTGTGGTCGCTGCTCGAAATTCTTGTTCTCCCGGCAAGTTTTCGTACCAATGAGACTGTCATCCTTAACATGGAAATATTCCGTTCAACAACAGCAAAAAATCTTCATGAGTTATAGTTCAAGCTAAAGAGTGGGGGGACGGCAACTACGTACAACTTCAGGTTGATGAATAACTTTGTCCCTTTAGGTAAAGGTGGTGGCCTAGAAATGAGTGAGGGTGCAAAGTTATCATATGGAAAAAATAAGGAATATTCTCGATAAATTATGCTGTTCTTATTCCCGAGAATGAAAGAAAGCACCATAAACTTGATGAAGAATATGCATTGCATACTGATTTGATAGTAAGCGATTGACAATCATCCTACCGTAAGTTGTTCATTCATGGTGAAGGAAATTTTGATCTCGGCTATGCGAAACGTTCTAGTAGGGCCACCCAGTACCGCCGACGAATAAACCCTTCTCTTAGTTGCAAGCAACAAATACCAAATTAGTCAAGAGAATGTGGAAACACTTGATATTAACAATTCAACCGTTTGATTACGACGACCTGGAATGATGGGTTGGACCGATGTATGCCTACGGCCGAGGTTGCCCAAAAATTTGATGAACTGCACTTTAATTCATTGAACTTCTAAGTGCTAATAAACATGAAGCCATTTGAAGGATAGCGATATGCTATCGAACAAAACGGCACTCCTATAATAGATTGATTGTTCACCAAGGAAGCTACACCATTCGAAAGTCTGAACTACCCAAACTAGCTTAATGTTATGTTTGTTAGTTACAATTGAAGAGATACTATCGTTCAAGCCGCGTGTGGAGTTGTGGTCGGAGGAGTCCTGCAAAACACACGTGGAATCGATCCCCGTGCCCATGGCTCACCAAGCCTTCCATCCCTCCGGAGTCCGCAAATTGGTACCGGACTTGACTGGGAGGATGGCGGCACTGGCTCAACACATCCGTACACCACCACGATCCATTGTGAAGGCCAGATATGCATTCAATCACCTCCAACGATGCTTAATGAAGTCGAATGTATGGCGCATTCCTCAGCGATTGATCAACGTCAAGAGCTTTATCCTTCATCCTTTTATAGTTTATGCCATCTGCTAGTGGTGTGCATAGTAGTTTTGACGAAGGAGAATCCCAATCTACGTCCCCGCTAACATAGCGCTGAGAGAATCGCTGAGTGTGAAAGAAGAACGTGGAGCTGGGATCCGTTACATGGTTGACTGGGACGCACACACGTTGTGAATTTTCACCATGTTCTTTTAATTACATGAAATGGATTTTCATGAGAGTTATGCGCAGTGCTATCCCCTCTTTATTCTGCTTCATTGGCGCGACGAAAAGACAATGGTGTCAGTACAACAAAGAGTTCACAGAACTTTACAACCAGTACGTGCTCTTGTCTCATTTCTCAAACCACTGACGTCATAAACCACTGCAATGCAACTCTAAGTAGCTTTGGGAGGATGTTCGCCTTGAGACACACTCGTTTTCTTAGATCGATGGCAACGGATCGGTAGAAGAGCTTTATATTCGTAGTTCAAGTATAATCAGGCGGTAATTGTGGCTATTTTTCAGAACAATCCTGCGTAAAGTACTCCATTTGTGAATAAGTTCGTTAATCTTGAATACAAGATGTCATATAAGCTGCAAGCAGTGCGTCTAGTCCACGGATTCCAGTCCGACTCTCTCGTCCCTATTATAAGCTCTTGATCACAACTCGGATTTCAAAGGGAAAAACCGAGGTGCATTTTTCCACGGTGGATAAGTTCATTCAATGCAGGTGCTATGACATCCCGCTCTACAGGAGACTAAACGACCTCTCACTAGTTCTTCACCCCGCTGGAGCGTTTTGAGGTCTTTCCTAGATGCAGACTCTGGCCATTCTTAATCGATGGGAAGTTTTGTTTTGTGTCGGAAGCAATTTTCACGATTAGTCGATTGGCCAGCTGTCTCAGACTCGAAGCAAATAAGTAAAGAGATAAAAGTTGGCTGACTTTTCGAGTACAATGAAGTAAGCCCATTCAATTCATAAAGAGTCTTGCACAAAAAACCTAGCTTAAAAAAGCGAAACGACTTTTCGATTAAGCTAATATTATGGAGAAAGAAATCAATATGCTAATGCACACGTATTAACATACCAGGAGCTCAACTGAGCGATTTTCACAAGACAGTTTCATAAGCTGTTAGCGTCACTTACTAATTGCGCGATGTTCTTTTGTTGTTGTGCCGTTGGAACTTTTGATGATGGGATGGCTTTTCCTGCTTGCATCTTCGACGTCACTTCCCCTGACTGCCTCTTCTGCGCAACATTTGTTTGTGGTCGGATCGCGCCCGCCTTTCGTTGAGCAGCATTCGATTTCGTTGCTGCTGAAATTACTCGCATCCAGTGTTATAGCTGAACCTAAGAACAGTTTGAAGACTATACTCAAGTTTTAACTTATTATTTACTGCCTACTCTTTTTAATGGCAGGGTATATATTGCGAAATATAATTTCAATGATGCTGAGATATTTGCAAAACTCCGGACCGCAGGTGTATGCGGTGAGGAACGAACGCGCTATTGTCCTTTCCGGAGAGTAACGCATCCACACCACACCATGCGGGTCCTTCGTTTCGCCTGTCTCTCAGCTAGTTCTATCGATCTTTTGCCATCAGCAATCACCTGTTAGCGGGATTGATCTGGGGAGCCCAAATTGGCAGCGAACCCAGTTAAGCTGTTAATAGGTTAAAATAGTGATTGTAACTACGACGTCAGCTTAACTGGGTTCGTTGCCGATTTGGGCTCCCCAGATCAATCCCGCTAACAGGTGATTGCTGATGGCAAAAGACCGATAGAACTAGCTGAGAGACAGGCGAAACGAAGGACCCGCATGGTGTGGTGGTGAACGCGTTACTCCCCGGAATGGACAACAGCGCGTTCGTTTCCCGCCGCAGACACCTGCGGTCCGGAGTTTTGCAAATATCTCAGCATCATTGAAACTACACTCAAGATTTGAAAAGTTCTAGATGTGGAGTTAAAATTGAAATACGAACCAAAAACGCAGCTCTACAGGGTGGTTGAAAAGTAACTTCTAACCTACTTATACATTTCAAAATTTTTTCCAACATTCCGTGCATTAATTAGATCTACTCCGCCATTTTTTTCAAACTGAATATTTCGTTTGAAGATTAGAAGCCTTACAAACGCGTTGTGGACGTTTTATCCTATACGAACGTGCCCAGTTTGCGGTACTTCTTTGGGTGAGCCGTTGTTGAAATATAAAGGTGTTGTGGGACCATTAAAGAAGGACATGCTCAAGTTGAAACAAAAACGATGAGGAATGGTCATGCAAAACTCACGGCTTCACGATCTGTAACTGATACTCGAAAGAGCGGTTGTTCTTCCAGTAACAGTGACCAAGAGGTAGTGTAAGCTGTTCGAGAAATTTTTACTCGTAACCCAAAAAGATGCAGCATGAAATCAAGCCAGTTATCAGTACTAAACAAAATACAGAAGATTTAGTTTTCGTGCAAAATAGCGCTCTGTCACCACATTTTGCCATCTTTGTTCAGGAACGGCCGCATGCTAAATTCCGAAGGAAATAAACGGTCTGTATGAGTCCTCATCCAGAGCTCTTAATTGACACCCTTCGGCTTTTTCTTGGGGTTAGTTAAAGTAGCAAGTCGAATCTAACAAAGGAACGACTTTGGAAAAACTCGAATGCCCAACACGAAAGGTTTTGTCTTCAATTCCCTGATAGCTCTAGTGAAATCCGTTGATGTGGTTTGAGAAGCTGGCAGCGAATAATGATGCCCATATCAAATTCAATAATATTCCATGCTTCATTCTTTCCTTCGGTATTCATTTCTTGTTAAAACTGTAGTTAAGAAATAAACCACAAGAAAATGGAGTTACTTTTCAATCACTCTGTGGGCACTGTGAATTCCATTTCTCAATGCTAGCAGTTTTCACCGTTTCTATTATGATATAGTAAGTATTAAAAAATGGCGCATAATCTAGTTAGAGGAGTCTTATAATAAACACGTGGTCGTGGGTACGATACCGAGCTGTGAGCCACACCAAGCTTTCCATCCCGCCGGGGTCGGCAAATTGTGTATAGGACCAATATGCGTGTAATCATCTCTAAGAAGTCGAAAGCATAGCACATCCCTCAAGAATTGGTCAATGACGAAGGCTTTATCTTCCACAATAAGGACGAAAAGAGCGGTTGTGTGGACTATGCATCCTTACGAAGCAATACCAAAACGACAGGCGGACGTGTTCGTGGCTTACGTCACCCGCCTGCATTCGCACATGGAAACGATTTTATGGCAACGAAATGGATCCGTGAATGTCACCATGTTCGAAGTAGACCATCGCCGTGAACTACGCTAGTGGCAAAGAGAAACCAATGGAACTTTTGCTGGGACCCACACCGCTGGTGAATACGGGTCACCCAAGCATCCAAGTAGGCAAGTAAGCTATGCTTATGTTATGAAAAAGAATCGTTCATACTTTCAATGATGCTGAGATATTTGCAAAACCCCAGACCGCAGGTGTCTGCGATGGGGAACGAACGCGTTCACCACCACACCATGCGGGTCCTTCGTTTCGCCTGTATCTCAGCTAGTTCTGTCGATGTATGTCTGCCATCAGCAATCACCCGTCAACGGGATTGATCTGGGGAGCTCACATCGGCACTGAAACCAGTTAAGCTAAGGCTGCAGTTATAATCACAATTTTAACTTATTATTTACTGCCTACTCTTTTTAACGGCAGGGTATAAACTATGGCTTGTATTTGCAAAACAGCGCACCGCATCGATAGAACTAGCTGAGAGACAGGCGAAACGAAGGACCCGCATGGTGTGGTGGTGAACGCGTTACTCCCCGGAAAGGACAATAGCGCGTTCGTTCACCACCGCATACACCTGCGGTCCGGAGTTTTGCAAATCTCTCAGCATCATTGAAAGTTATATTTCGCAATATGACCTGCCGTTAAAAAGAATAGGCAGTAAGTAACAAGTTAAAATCGTTCATACTGTTCGGAAATTAGTGCAGAATCCCAGCCTGTATTTTAGAGTGGCATTTATCAGCAAAGTAGACTATACTGATCGAGACAAAATCTACGGGGTATACACTTTTGTCCGAAAAAAACAAATTTACTCATTCTTATTGTGCAGGTTTCCGATATCCTGGAGGCGAAGGAGTCGCTGAAGGCAGTATCGGCCTCCTCGAAAAGAAACCTACGAAAAGAGGTGGAAATAGGTCGGGAAATGGTAATCAATGCACAGAGGATCAAGCGAGTGTGGTGGATGAAGCAGAGCTTCATATACCAAGCCGCTTAACCGTTGCAGCGATTCGGCACGAAATGTAGCTACGCTTCGGTAGTTCGAAGTGATGCCAATTCGTACGACACCCATTTGTCGAGCTTTCTTTACTTAAAAATCTTCATTCGATTCTCCGAAACAGTTGAAGTGCTTATGACGAGTTCTACCGCACACACGTATGCTTGGCTTCCACCAAAACCTTTAATTCATATTCGTTAATAGCAAGATGTCCACAACGTTCTTCATCTTTAAGGCCAAATTCACCATTCACCATTCACCATTCACCAAATTCACCAATTCATTCATTCAAATTTTTGAAACCGACGTCGCATTGTGCATTCGTTTTTACTTTCTTGGTCCCTCATCTCATTAACGTTTCCAGCTGATAGCACAGAGTGCGTCTTGGCTTGAATTCGTAGAAATAAATTTCTCGAACTTTCGGTTCTGATATCTCAGTTCTTAATCAACGAAATTTGTAGGAATTCATTTTATACCTGAATCCAATTATACAGAGAGAAAGCGCAAAATGAGCTTTGCAATAGTACACAAAGCTCTAAAAAAGCTCTCAGGGTTGATCAGTTCATGAGGAATGCTCGATGCATTCAACTTCATTAAGTATCGTTGGAGGTCATTGAATGCATAATTGGTCTTTACAATGACTTACGGTGGCCTACCGATGCATCGAGTGCATCGAGCCAATGCTGCTATTCTCCAAGAGAAGTTTGGTACCAATTCGCCGACCCTGGAGGGATGGAAGACTTGGTGAACCACAGACGCTGGGATGATATATACTAAAGAGAACTATCAAAAATTGTTCAATAATTCCCAAACAGCCCTAATAGCGTGTAATGAAAATCCAGCCCTGGAAATCATAAGCACAATTATTGAATGCCACGCCTCTTTTTGACATAAGAAAACTATTGCGAACTAACGTTCTGCTACTGGCTGGTAAGTAGTTTCCTCATCGTCTTCCTCTCCGCTGACTGAGTTATCCTTCCTATCACGATACATTACCACAACCAATTGTTTCTACAATGTACTATTTTTGTACCAGACAAATCAAAAAGCTGTTAAAACACCACAGTTCATGGGATATGGAGAACAATCCCCATCTATGCGTACTATTTTGTGAATCCTATGTTGATTGTGTACTGTTGTCATCCTTCCTAATCTACCACGAAATCTTTTTCTTGTGCAACTTGGATTGAATATAGCCACGACTAGGATTGATCGCACAACATGCCACTGATATACCTCGATCTCTGTCAGCCACATCGTTGCACATTGTATGCCCCTTTTAATTTAGCTCTGTATAGGATCTGCAATAGAATGTAGAGTGAAGTGCAGTAGAATCCGCCCATTCCGAAACGGTATATAGGGAATGCTATTCAGTTACGAACCCTTCTATTCTCGTATTGCGTTATTGTTTGACCCTTACCATTCCTACTTGTGCGCAGGTATTTGTACAATATGATGCCTGTCCCTTATGCCACGTGATTAATCTATCACGGAAGCAATCCTCTCTTATTGTCAGTGTTCATCCCTAGTCTGTAGATTGTTCTTTTATAGACAATGCGTAGTTCATTTAGCTACTGGTTTTTGCCTGTCTGTGTGGGAGTAATTGCCCAAGTTTGAGGTCTGGCGTAGCTGCAATACGTTTGTAATCTCTCCGGATAGGCTGAGGACACAACATATACCTATGCTATCTCCGATGCGATTTAAAACATTTCTCACTGGTTTTCGCTGCTCTAGTAAAGAAGCTAATTTTCGCTGTGCACAAGATCACCTTTTACGTCAAATTTTTCTGTTTGAAGCTCAACACTAACAGATAACATCGTAATTTCAAGAAAAGTAAAGTATGCCTACCGGTGAGGCTTGCATGACCTCCTTCTTCACTATTACATCGGGGCCATCGTTTTTAGGTACCTAAGAGTAATAAGCTAGGATTTGCTTAATTCCTTTCTCGAGAAAAGTGTGCTTTAGTAAAATGAAAAATTGTGTATTTTGAGTGTTATTCTTTCTGTAAAGAGCAAAGCATAACCTTTTTGATACCGAATTGTTTCGTCTTAAATAAATTACTTATACGTCCACATAACCACGACGAACAATGTAAGACATCCAGAATATTAGGAATAATGGTGTATAGAAAACGCGATCAAGAAGTAAAACGAATTTGCTCCTAAGTAACAAAAGCCAGGTCTACGAATCAGTAAAAGGATAAAGGATAAAGCACTCTGCATTGATCAACCCTTGATGTGCAATGTATTTGACTTCATTAAGCATCGTTGGAGGTGATTGAATGCATATCTGGTCTTTACGATGACTCGCGGTGGCCTGCCGTTGTATCGAGCCAGTGCTGCTATCCTCCCAGAAAAGTCTGGTACCAACTTGCCGACTCCGGATGGATGGAAGGCTTGGTGAGCCACGGGCACGGGGATCGATCCCATGCGTGTGTCACAGGGCGCCTCCGACCACTGTGCCACAAGCACCCCTAAGGGAGGAAAATTCGAATATAAAGCAAATATACATGTAGAATATTTATTCGGACTTACTCAGAAGGTGTTCTGACCGTTTAAAATAACTTCAGATTCTAGTCATTGCACTCGATTGTAAGCGATCAACTCCAGTTACACTGATACGAGATTAAAACAATACGTTATCCATGGACGTAAGATTCCGTCTCGAAATTTCGATAGCGCAGACGTTTTTATGTACATTAATCAACCGATAACTGATCTTATAATTTCTCCAATTTAGTCTCTTTTCAGTATTCATGTCAAAAGAAGATTCTACTATCCATAGCAATTATATGGCCTATGAAATTGAGAAGAAAGAATAGAGCGCACCCTACATCAGTAAGAGGGGATTATTTGCCACCAAGGGCAAAATGTTTTACCGGAGAATTCAACGTCAGAACAGGAAACTTCCACAGAAGTATTTTGAAACGTGAAAGAGAAAATCCAAAAGCGGTGAACCCGTCTAATTGACCCTTACCAATGATGACCCCTTCTATAAAAAAAAGCTATTCTTAGTAAGACAAACACTGGACATGAGATCTAACGATCAACACGGAGATAGGAAGTCGATTGCATCTCTAGCAACATCAAAAAGCTGATTCAGAATAAAATAAAACTGGAGTTAAGTTTAATAGTACACATCTCATATGTCTGAGGAGTTGCAGAAGATTCATATTGGGAAATTTACATTTGTAGAAGGTCTTGGCAAAAGAACTTATGCAGATACAAGAAGAGGAAACTATAAGAGGCACCATAAAGAAGATTCGGAAGCAGGTAGCCCAGTAGTATTCATCTTTCTTCGCGCGGACGGCCCAACCTGCCCGGTCCCGGTTCTAGCCCGAACTCTGCCCACTAGGGCTCTACACGCTTCATGGGCGGAAAATTGGTATCAGACTATCTGAGATAGGGCGACTTCCTCCATTCCACGCAAAAATGTCCTACCACAGCTATACCGTGACTTCAAAGAGAATCGCCTCAATCATCATTTAGTTACATTCGCGACGAAATTGAAAATACTCTGCGGCAGCCGCCGAAGCCTCACTCAGAAAGGCCCAAATACTTTTAATTATTATTATTAAACAATAACAAGAATGATAATTATTATAGCCTAATTATTCAATGATTATTATAACTCGTAATAGTAATAAGCTATACAATATGACAAATAACAGTATGATGGTTCGACCCTCTCTCCAACACTTTCATTCAAACCACATAGAAACGCCTTAGCTCGCGATATCTCCAAGATTGCAAGGAGAATCGACTCGAATAGCAATCTATGAGTTTCACAATGAAGTCGAAATCCTCAACTAGCAACAGTAACAACATGAGAAATGCACGAGGAGCTTTGTGAACGATGAAAGCGAGGAAAGTCAATCGAATGCAAGAATTGCTAAGATCCGCACGGCAGATGTAATGACAGAGCATACACCAAATTCCTATTATTACTACTGTTACTACTATTATCATTCCTGTTTATTACTGAACATATACTAAAGAGTGAGTGTAGCGCAGTGGTCGAAGGCGCCCTGCAATACACATGTTATCGATTCCCGCACCCCTGGCCCACCAAGCCTTCCAACCCTCCAGGGTCGGCAGATTGGCACCAGACTTGTCTGGGAGGATTGCGGCACTAGCTGGACACAACGGTAGACCACCGCGAGTCATTGTAAAGGCCAGATACGCAAACACCTCCAACAATGCTCAATGAAGTCGAATGCATGGCACATCCCTCAGGGAATGATCAACGCCGAGAGCTTTATCCTTAGACAAAGGCGGACCAATCTTTTATAGCATATATGTAAAGAAGTGAATTTGAGATGTTGGCGAATACACTCCATGATGACTCCTGCTAAGCAAATATCACTTCATATCAGCACGATAAAAAAACTATGATGGAATACTCCAGCCTTCTCCATTGCAAATTCCTCGCTTTTCTCCAAAATCCCTGATATAAGAAAGCCACTCCCATTTTTGCGCCACAAGGCCCGTGAACTGGGTGTGTAGCACAATGGTAGTAGTGCTGACCACCACGTGCACGGTTACTGTTTGGTCCTGCTCCTGGTCCACGACGCCTCTCATCCCACTGGAATCGGAAAATTAGTGGCGTAGTCGTCCGGGAAAGAAATAACTCTCTGCAGTCCAAGTGGGAACATCCTAGCCCGACTATCTCAGGACTCTAGACGCGAGTCGACTCCACCAGCATCCAACGATATTCATGGTGAAGGGAAAGTCCTCAGACAGCAACCGAAGCGAAACGGAAGAAAGTTGGTAGACGTTCGCGGATGATGAATGCGAAGAACCGAATCGAATTTGAGAGGTGTTGAGATCCGCATAGTAGATGTGAAAGACAGGTTGCACAAAATGAAAAAAGCTCCTGTTCCAAAGAATTCGTTCAGTTGAGGTGTCCCAGCCGATCACCAACAGGCTTGGCGACAAGTCCCTAAGTGGCGAGTAAGGGTTTTAACGCGAACGAAAAGCGAGCTTGTGACTCCCTATGATCTGCGACTTTAAAAAAAGCTCATCGCGCGAAATCCTTTCAATATTGAAAAGAGCATGATGAACATCACTGAAATCGACCGTACTTCGACCATTATATGTGATACCAGTTAATATTAATCTCACAGAAACTGAAGGTCAGAAAAACAAACTGGGACAATCACAGAAACAAAATGAATCAAATCCAACCGATTATATAACACTAGCTTGGAAACGATTTAGAAATTGTTGTCGAGAAATGGCTCAACTTCTATCTGGCGATAACTCCACTGTATCCTATGGATAAGAATAATCATTCCACTGGAAGACTGCGTACCTTTCCATTTCAATAGAAAACACAAAATTAACTTTTTTATTTACTGCCTACTACAATTTTTCACGGCAGGATGTCACAGGAAACTCATATTTCATATTTTAATAGAATGTAGATGACCCTATCATCTGAAATGTTGTTATTGGACTCGCTATGTTGTTATTATTCCACTGTCTATATTCTTGATATTCGTGATTTGTGGAGATGTGTTATACAAATCCTCCCAACGGTTTACCCCCTCATCGTAGCTTGAGGTGTTCCTGGGTGTCGCGTAGCGATGTACAGCGGTAGGATTCATCCTCCCAGCAGGGTCTCCCAAGATTAGAAGGAATCAGCCGCTTGCATCAGGAAGCCTAGCTAAGAGTAAACCAATACCAAGATCCACCACCGTCCTGGTGTCAAACTAGTCGCATGGTGGCAAACCTCCTTCTGATCCGCAAAGGCGGCGACTTCCCGTGGTGGTCACGACTAGAGGCAGACTTTGACCAGGTTGACCTCAAGACTCCGAAGAACCACAATGGCTAAACCAGCAAAAATCCGAAAAAGGGAAATTATACTGGTGTCCGTACAACCAGTGAAGGGGCCATCCAAGTATCCAAGTAAGTAGGTAAGTAATATAAATAGCCACCTACTTCCTGAACAGCTTAGAACAATCAATCAGTGCGAAGTAGAGATGAAATGTTCGCAGCGTCTATTAACTATAACTCCATTAACTATAATACAACATAGTTTTACAACTTTTGAACAGTTTTTGTCAGTGAGCACTTTACTAGACGAAGTGCGGACCAATTGTGGTAAGAATGTTAAAGGTATTGAAACCATTCCATCAGTGTATAATGCTGAGATATTTGCAAAACTCCGGACCGCAGGTGTATGAGGTAGGGAACGAACGCGCTATTGTCCTTTCCGGGGAGTGGCGCACTTGACCACCACACCATCCGGGCCCTTCGTTTTGCCTGTCTCTCAGCTAGTTCTATCGATCTTTTGCCATCAGCAATCACCCGTCAACGGGATTGATCTGGGGAGCCCAACATTCCATCAGTCTTTTGTTCTTTGTGATAGATATTACAGCGAACATAGTGAAATGAGCTTGACTGGACTCATGGTGAGAGGAAAACCACATGTGCCTTTTGTCTTCGTTCATAACTCTACGAAAAGACCTGATGACGTGCTCAGAGCACCTTCCATTCGCACTGTTGGCAGTCGATGCATAAACCTTACCGCAGCTTTGTCCTTGTCATTTGTGGGATCACCTTCGTTAATACATTTGTTGTCTTTCTCGTTCGACTCTTTTTTTCCATCCTCTTCGTCTTCCTCTTGATCGTTGACACCAAAAAAGAGAATTCGAAATCGTTTCTTTGTTGTCTCATGCTCAGCCAATCTCTGAAAAATAAATGACATCCTTTGGTTTGTTTATTTCGAAGGCCGACGGTGAACGAATGTCTTAGTAAGAGATTGATAATCACGCTCTGAAAGTATGAAAGCCTACTTGCTGATATTTTTGCATCTTCCATACTTTTTCGGTGTTGATGGACGTTGATGGTGCTACAGCAACAACCATGGTGAACCTAAGATCACAATTTCTTTAGCGCTCTGTGCACTTCAAACTTTAATATTCGAATATATTCAGTCGTACTTAAGGTTATTAAGATCAGATAAGCATTCAATCATGATGATCCAAACGATACTTAATGAAGTCGAATACATGGCGCATCCCTCAGGGATTGATCTACCCTTTTTTATTTTGGGTTATTAACATTGTTGTATAGTTCTATGTCACTTCTATCGATCGATTAAATTAAGACAATTGAATTGAAAGATGAAATCCTTCAAACTTTTGATGAGCACAGTTAAGGGTCTATGCGGTTAAGCATGGAAGCGTGTTTAATCACTGGTAGACAACGCCTTTCTTATTAGAAAATACATTTCTAACATCCAACTTTCTTCTTTTGTTCTATTCCTTAATAGATACAGGGTTCACCAATGATGTCACTGTCCTTGTAGTTGTCTAATTTCATCTACAAAGCAGCAGTTACGTTGTGTAGGTTCACATCAAACCAAGCCTGGAAGGGTTAGATTGAGATGCGATCTACACAGCCAAAAACTTTCATAACCCTAGCAGATAAAACTTAAATAGATTTGTATTCGTATAAGAAACGGCTTCATTTAAACACCTACCGTTTATTTGTTGTAAGTATTTAAGATAGTTGATGAATAGCAGCCGCACAGAGTAATGCATAGGCGAGGACTGTGCCTGTGTAAGGTTATTGGATTAGCCTGAGGTATGGCGCCAGGTCACGTGTAATGACAACACACTACTTGCGGTTCATTTTTGAATTGATACAAAACGCTTCAAGAGTTTTACGCGCTAATGTTTTCGATTCGTGTGTGAGGATACTGACTCCTACTTCAAAATCTTCCTCGTTACGTGTGTCCTATGCGTACCCAGTGGGGTGCTTGGTCTAGCTTTAAGTTTACCGACTAGGTGTTCTTTTATGCGAACGCAGAGCGGTCTACCCGTTTCGCCAACGTATCCGTCCCCGCACGCTTTACAAGAGACCAGATAGATTGTACCCGAACTCATGCAATCACCGTCTCTACCGTTAGCGCAAACTATGTTCACCAGTTAGATATCGATACAATGGAAAAACATCTTGAAGACACATCTCTTTATTGCGAATGAACTGAAAAGGAATTCAGAAGTGAAAATCGAAAAGTGAACAACGAATGGGTCAAAATGGCAAGCGCAGCAGGTTTAAAACCAGCAGACATTTCGCGTCTTAAGATCGAAGTGCCGACATGTCCCGTCTTATACTTACTTATCAAAACCCATAAGTTAATATCCGCTGATGATCTGGCGTCTACTGACCCCTCCACCTTTAAAGTTAGACCCATCATCAGTTGTGTAGACGGGCCTGCTGATAGAATTGCTTGGTTTATAAATCTAATCCTCAACCAGTTGCTAAAGCACATACCAGCCCACCTCACGATTATCCAAATTTTGCTGAATCGTCTGCGTAATGGGAGTCCTAACAATGCGCACGTGATGGAGTCCTTCGACGTTACCACTCTTTACACTAATGTGTCGAATGACTCCACAATGCAAGCCATCCGAGAGCTTCTTGAGCAACACGAAAGAGCAATTAACATGTATGGCTTTTCGATTCAGCAGCTTATGGCCCTCTTAAAAGTCTGTTTAAGCTGCTCAGTCTTCAGATGGTCCGGGAAATATTACGCGCAAATCAAAGGGTTGTCAATGGGACAATGACTGGCACCAACCCCTGCCGTTGCCTTTATGTCTAAAGTGGAAGCTCCAGTAATCGATCTCAAGCCATTACTCTACTGAAGGTGTATAGATGACTGTTTTATCATCTGCTCCACACAAGAGGAGATGGACAAATGCTTTGAGTTATTGAACAAACAGTCAGAGTACGTAAAATTCACCCGTGAGAAACCGAAAGAAAACTGACTTCCATTTCTAAAGGTTCATATAAACCTATCCGAAAACGACTACATCACAAATTGGTATCGAAAGCCAAGCAGTAAGAATATAGTGGCTCATTACCTCTCCCCTCATCCCTCACACTCTAAAAGGGCGCTTATAAGAAATATGTTTCGAACCGCCGCCAGCGTGTGCGCAGGTAGAGAGCAGAGGGAAAAATCCTCGGAACTGGCGTGCCAAATAGCCATTTCAAATAGTTACGAAACTGTAGCTTCTCGGCATAGGCATAGAGGAAAAACCACACCCCAGAGCGATAATTCTGGCGAAAACAAGGCTCCATTCCTCTTGTCCTTTATTTCAAACGAAATTAGTGCAGCTATAAAACGTTGCTTAATAAGGGCCGGTCTAGAGAATTTCGTAAGAGTGATAGAAATACCACCGGACACTCTAAGACGCCTGCTAGTTCGCAACCGCTATACGACCGTCTATGTACAACGAAAAACTGCATAATTTGTCCTAACGGTAGAGACGGCGATTGCATGAGTTCGGGTAGAGTTTATTTGATCTCTTGTAAAACGTGCGGGGACGAATACGTTGGCGAAACGGGTAGACCGCTCTGCGTCCGCATAAAAGAACATCTAGTCGGTAAATCTAAATTGAAACCAAACAGTCCACTAGGCGCGCATAGGATGCAGAAACACAACGGAGAAGATTTCGAAGTGGGAGTCACTATCCTCACGCACGATTCGAAAACATCAGCGCGTAAAACTCTTGAAGCGTTTTGGATCAATTCCAAAAATTCGGAAATGAACCGCAATGAGGAGTGTCTTGTCATCACGCGTGACTTGGCGCCATACCTCAAGCTGATCCAATGACCTGACACAGACGCAGATATCGCCCGTGTATTACTCTGTGCGGCTGCTATCCACCAACTAACTTAAATAGTTGCAACAAATAAACGGTAGTTGTTTAAATGAAGCTGTTTCTTACGCGAATACAAATTTATTTGTTAAGTTTTATCTGGCGGGGTTATGAAAGTGTTTGGCTGAGTAGATCGCATCTTAATTTGACCCTTCCAGGTTCTGAAGAAGGCCGCCGCCGAAACATCAGCTATTGTATCCTAATAAATCTTATAATAACAAGCTCGTGTCTGCTTATTGAAGAAGAACATCGAATCTGTGAATGGCCGAAATTCTTATCTTCATGCCCATTTCGTGAACTTATCATTAAAGTGATGTGTAGCATCAAATACGGACCATAATTCCAGTTGTGCACTGCCGTTGCCAGAAATGATATAATTAGATGATACCACTCTGTGCGATCATCATTCCTGATGAAATCACTAACTGTTGTCATAGATGAATAGAATGAAGCTGAATGCACCTCTCTTTCTTAGGCACCTCTTGTCCTGGTTTGAGTCCATTAAAAATGAGGCGCACCGTAGACTGAAATTTAAATAATATCGACGGAGAGCATCTTGCAAATAACAATTACAATTTAACTGAAGATATGCACACACTTCGCATTTACTTATATTTAAACTTGCTTCCAGAAAGCTGGGCTACGTGGCCTACGCAAATTAAATCGCTGTTCCTAAATCCTCCTATGAGGTGGACGGATTTATGTGAAAGTCTGCTTTCAGCTTCAGGATGTTCTATCTTTCTTCTCGTTAACCTGTTCAGTTCCGATCGATCATGGTTTTCTCTAGAATCTCGAAACATAAGATTAAGGTCATTGGAAGTCACGAAAAAGCGGTGGGTTTTTCAAGAAGTTGTTGATCGTGTAATTACCAAAGAGTCTTTCGTCTTTGTGTAAGTGTTATTGAAGCGTTTGGCCTAGTAGATTGTATATCAGTATACCCTTCCAGGCTCTGAAGAAGGCGATACTGCCGAAACGTCAGCTAGCGTTGTATTGTATTGTGTTTTTATGGAAGTAAATGTATGCTGTTTAAAAACCTCGCGATTGCTGAACAAGAAAACAACACATTCATATTCCAATGCCGAGGTTAAGAGAAAGTCGATCCTGGGAACTATTACAAGATGTACCAGCAAAATACTTTCGACTTGTGAAGGAAGCATTGTCACTAAGACAGAAGATTGTCTTAGCTAGACAGCAAATCAACTTCCTCCGCCGCTGTTTTCAACATCGAGTCGTGCCGAAGTTTATAAAACGAAAGCGACTTCACGAGATATGCGGTCAACCAGAGGGCAGCCAACAAGTACGAGGCATCGAAATGGAACTACTTCGAGCTGCACTACGAAGCAAGC